TTAGGTTCTGCTTTAGCAAATTGCATTAATCTTTCAAATTTGACACTTGAACTTAGGTAAAAACAGTTTATTTGTTTTGGATTGTGATATTTTTAATTATAAAAACTAATTAAAAACAATAAAGCTCTTTTTTCTTTTTCTTTTTACTGTGCTTGCTTTTTTTTGTTCTTTCTTTGTTAATTTAGCTCATCATTTTATTTTCAACTTTTATTTTTATTATTAATTAATTAATCTTATTATTTCATATTTTTTCTTCATTTTTTCCTTCTAATTAACTATTTAATGATATATTTTTTCTTCAATATTTAAAAAGTGACAATTATATTGGTGATGAAGGTGCATCAGACTTAGGTTCTGCTTTAGCAAATTGCATTAATCTCTCAAATTTGACACTTAACCTATAGTAAAAACAGTTTATTTGTTTTAGATAGTGATATTTTTAATTATAAAAACTAATTAAAAACAATAAAGCTCTTTTTTCTTTTTCTTTCTTTTTACTGTGCTTTCTTTTTTGTTCTTTCTTTGTTAATTTAGCTCATCATTTTATTTTCAACTTTTACTTTTATTATTAATTAATTAATCTTATTATTTCATATTTTTTCTTCATTTTTTCCTTCTAATTAATTAACTATTTAATGATATATTTTTTCTTCAATATTTAAAAAGTGACAATTATATTGGTGAATGAGGTGCATCAGGCTTAGGTTCTGCTTTAGCAAATTGCATTAATCTCTCAAATTTGACACTTGACCTATAGTAAAAACAGTTTATTTGTTTTAGATAGTGATATTTTTAATTATAAAAACTAATTAAAAACAATAAAGCTCTTTTTTCTTTTTCTTTCTTTTTACTGTGCTTTCTTTTTTGTTCTTTCTTTGTTAATTTAGCTCATCATTTTATTTTCAACTTTTACTTTTATTATTAATTAATTAATCTTATTATTTCATATTTTTTCTTCATTTTTTCCTTCTAATTAATTAACTATTTAATGATATATTTTTTCTTCAATATTTAAAAAGTAGAAATTAAATTGGTGAAATGGGTGCATCAGGCTTAGGTTCTGCTTTAGCAAATTGCATTAATCTCTCAAATTTGACAATTGGCCTTTAGTAAAAATAGTTTATTTGTTTTGGATTGTGGTATTTTAAACTATTAAATTGAATATAAAACAAAAAAGCTCTTTGAATTTATTTGATAAATTTTATTTATTTTAATTTTTTATGTTTTTTATTGCACTAATATTATTTTATTTATTAATTTAAAGAATAATTTTTAATTTAAAAGTTTATTCTATTTTAATATTTATTTAAAATTTAGATAAATTTATTTTAAAATTTTATAGCTCATATAATAAATCATAAGAATTCAAAGTAATAAGCAAGTGTCGTAAATCAAAAAGATTAGTTGTCTTTCTTTTCAAATGATAAATAACTGGTGAAAAAAGGATGAATAAATAAATATAAAATGTTTGAATAATATTATATATTTGATTATTTAATATTTTGAAAAAGTGTTTATAACCTAAAATATAAATAAATAGATAGATTTTATTATTGATTTTATATTTATAAATATCATTCAAATTTTGTAAGTAAATAAATTATTTATAAAAAATAAAAAAACTAAATTTACTTAAATAAATTAAATCCTCTTAAGCAAACCCTCTGGTTTCTCCAAAAACGATCAAATAATTTGAAATTTTTAATGTTATATTACATGTTATTAAATTATATAAATGCTAAACTTTTATATGCCATTTATATTTTAATCTTAAATATTATCCATCAATCATATTTCTATCCTATTTTTATTTATCATGATTAATTAATTAGATACCATGATTTAAATAAAACATCAGGGAGAAATCAAGTTTTACTTTTTATTTTAAATTTTGTGGATTTGATAAATTAAAAAAAAATTCTATTAAATATTTTAACAAAAAATTTGCATGGAATTACAATTATATTATTATTTATTTAATTGATAAATCAATATAAATTATTATCCTTAATTAAAATTTTTATCTATTATATATTGAATTAATATTATAGGATAAAATTAATTTATAAAATTTAAATTGAAAGTTTAAAAAATTTAATTAATTTGTAATTAATGATTTATTTTCGATTTTTATTCTAAATATTCTAAAAAATAATTTTTATTTTATTTTTTAATAGCATTTAATTTATTAGTAAGTAATTTATAAATAAAATATATTATAAAATTAATCTATTAAATTTTGATTTAGATAATTTTATTTTTTGTAATTACTTACTAACTAACAACTAACGGATTAAGTATAAAAAATATAAAAGTATTTTATATTTTTTATATACAAAGAATCTCTTTATGAATTATATGATTATATAAAATAAATGCTTTAAAAAAAATTATTAATTTAAATATAATACTGTGATAAGTTTCATCAAATAATAAGAAAAACATCTAAAGCAAATACTATATAAAAATGAGTGTAGAAGTTATCTAAAATTTTGAAATAAATGATTTAAAATAAATGTTAGTTTTCATCTCTTTAGCAGAAGAAGGTAGAGAATAATTTGAATTTTTAGCTGGTACTCGATACGCGTATAGTTAGGTAGATAGGAGTTCATTAAGTGCTTAGGTAGCTAAATTTTTATAGGTATCATAACAAAACGGCTAAAATGAAATTAAACAAGAATTATTTGCATCTCTGATAAACAAAGCATCATAAAAACCTTTTAGATACATCGAAGAACTTTCAAAAAGCATAAATTAATAAAAAATTAGCATAAATAATAGTGAATCAAATGTAAAATTAACTTTTTTATATCCCATTTTCCTAAAAATTAGCTTAGAGTATTTATCTTATTATAATTACTCTTAAATGATTAAAATTTATCATAAGACATCTAATAAATCATTTGATTTTTCTTTTAGAAACTTAAAATATTTTATTTATTTTTTCTTATTTTCTGTTATTTTTCTCTTTAATAAATATAAATATTTTATTTTCTTTCTTTGATTTAAATTCCAAAATATAAATTCTACCATTTAAATTTGCTTACAAATTCATGTTTTTTTGAAAGTAGAATCAAGATAAAAAATCTGTTTAGGATGATGAAAATGAAGAGGAAGAAGAAAAATAAAAGGACATAAAAGATAATAAAGACAAATCAAATGAAATTCCCTTTAATGAAAGATATAATACTTATTATATGTGCAATATTTGCTTTGATTAAACAGTTAGTGAATAGTTTTTTTGCTTAGATTGTAATCATGTTTTTCATTAGGAATGCTTAGAGGATTACTTAAAAAAATAAATAAATTCAGATAATTTTTTGATAAAATGCCCTTGTACTGACTGCTGTTACTAAATTCCATATTAGATCTTAAGTGAAGTTTTAAATAAAGATGAATTAGAAGCGTATGAACTAAAATCACTTACAACATTTCTTAGTTAGAATTAGGCTCAAGTATTTTTTTAATTTTAATGCTTTTATTAATTTTTAAGTAATTTATTCTTTATTTTAATATTAAATAATTTTAAATATTTAATAACATCTTTACTCATTTTTTTTTAAAGTATTTTTAAATTAATTTTAACTCTATTATAAAATAAAGCTATTGAAAGATAAAATATCAGATAAGAATTAAAACATATCTTCTTATAATACTAAAATTGATACTGAATAAAAATAATCTGAAATAAACTAAATTTAAGCTTTAGATGTTGAAGATAATTGGGTCTGTGAAATATGTTACGAAAATATGATAAGTCAAGACTACATGTCTCTTAATTGTGATCATATTTTCCATAAAAATTGTTTAGCTAAATATTTTACTTCCTAAATAAACGAAAAGAAATTTCCTTTAAAGTGCCCAAATTCTAATTGCATTTTTCCTATAGAATAGTAGGATTTAAGGGAAGTTTTGAATGAAATTGAAATTTAAAGATATGAGAAATTTAGCTTGTAAAATTATATTGACTCAAACGCAGATGAAGTAAACTTTCTCTATTAAAGTATTTTTTTCATTATTTTTTTAATTTTAAAGATCTCTTGGTGTCCTACTCCTAACTGTGAATTTGCTTTCATTATAGAGAAAGATTAAAACCAGCTTAGTTGCCCTAAATGTAATAAGTCTTATTGCTTAAATTGCAAATGCGATTTTCATTTTGGATAAACTTGCTAAGAATATAAAATATCTTACAACTTTTCAGTAAAAATTTAACTAAGATTTGCAATTATTTTACACAAACAAACATTTTATTTAATAACAAAAGGAAGATGATTAGAAATTTGAATAATTTGTGATTGGCTAAAAATTTAAGAAATGCTCAAAATGCAAAATGTGGGTTGAAAAAAACTAAGGGTAACCTATCAATTAATTCTTTTAGATATTAAATTTTAATAAATTTTTTTAATTATTGGTTTTATAAAAGGTGTGATCACATGACATGTAGGTGTGGCTATTAATTTTGTTATAAGTGTGGAGGAGTTTACTTATAGTGTTAATGCTATAGAGACCTATTTTTTCCTTCTATAACATCTACATTCTTATAAGATATAGATAATTATAATAATAGTGAAAATTAATTTAATTTTAATTAAAATAATAGATTAAGTAACAATTAGTAAAATAGATAGCAACAAAATATTTTTTAATATTAAATGAATAATTCAAGCAGAGCTAATAATTTTGAATAATTAAATAATAATCGTAACCATATGTATATGAATTAATTTTAGATAAGCAATACTTAAAACAATTTTCTAAATATTTAAAATGAAACAGACATTTTAAGTAGATTAAGTAGAAATTAGTAAAATATTTAGCAACAAAATATTTTTTAATATTAAATGAATAATTAAAACAGAACTAATAATTTTAAAATATTAAATAATAATCTTAATCAAATGCATAGAAATTAATTTTAGCTAAGAAATACTTAAAACAATTCTCTAAATACTTAAAATTAAATTTAAAATAGATTAAGTAGCAATTAATAAAATATTTTTTAATACTAAATGAATAATTAAAACAGAGCTAATAATTTTAAATTATTAAATAGTAATCCTAATCAAATGAATATAAATTAATTCTAGACAAGCAATACTTTAAACAATTCTCTAAATAGTTAAGATTAAATAATCAATTAAAACAGAGATAATAACGACTTTGATGATTTTATTTCTCAAAATGAACTTTTTTATTTTAACAGAGATCACAATAACTAAAATTAAAATATATATGATAGTAGAAATAGATTACATTAAAATTTAAGAAATTAATTATAAATAGTTAGCAATTAAAATAATTAAATGGGTTTTAACACTAATGAAATCAGTTAAATTTAAAAAAATACATTAACATAATAAAATAAAAAAAATAAAACTAAAAGCTCAAACAATATATCACTTTAGAGTAATGAAGTACTAAAATTTATAAAATATTAAGATTCTAATAATAATAATAATAACAATGATACATTAATACCTGAATTTATGGTTGGTTGGTGCATTAGAATAATAATAATTGTTTTTTTAATAATAATATTAAGCTGATCATTTTATTAGACTTTCAATATTGTAAAATTAATCTGTATGAGGTAGTTGTAAGTTATCTATTAGCTTAGTCAAAGAAATTGATAAGTGTTTTAGTACTTATTATAAATAATATCAAATTCATATAAAGGTTTGAGTTAGGAGATTGTTTTTTTTGAAATAATAATAATAATTGTAATAATAATGATATTTAGGATGAAGATTAAGATATTTGATAACTATAAAACATTAATTATAAGATTAATTATTAATCAAGGAATATGAGGTTTAATTTAAATAAAACAATAAAGATAAAAAGTAATTTACTTTTAAACAAATATAATAATTATTTTATAAAGAGCAGAATTATAATTTATAATTAATTATATGTATTATATAAGTAAGTATCTATTTTTTACTTTTTTTCTTATTAAAATTTTTTTTCATCCAACTTTTAATTCAAAAGTTAAAGATATATAAGTAATTATTTATCATCTATTTTCTAATAAAAGCTAAAATAAATCATAAATATTAACAAAAAGTTAATAATTTCATACTAGTTGCTATTTAGGTTTTTAAAATTATTAGGATCTTAGTCAAAACAAAATTAAAATATTATATTTAACACTTATTGCAAGGGTAATTTTAATATTTTTAAAGATATTTTGTAATAAAATTATAATTTAAAATAGTACAAAATTATAAAATTTGCTGAAATACAAAATCTAAAATGGTCTTTTGTTTTATAATCAACTATAAAGTCTACATCTTTTATTTGAATATTATTAAATTTTCTAACAAAGATCACTATGTTAAAACCTCTAGTTTAACAGAATATATGACTTTATCATTTTTATTTTTTTCTAACATTTGATTGTAAATTGCTTAAATGTTTAAATTTTGATGTGAAAATCCAACATACTTTGCTTAATTTTTTAAATCTTCTGGTGTCTTAGTAATTTAATATCAAATTCTTACTTCGTTTTATACTTATGGGGAATATCTAATTAGTGTTTTTTGTTAGATTCTATCAATTATTTAATTAGAAGAGCATATATTTAAAAATAAATTAGATAAATAAAAAAATTACATACTCATTTAATAAGTCAACTCCACAGGTTGCTTAATTAATTTCCACTTTTAAATTATTAGTATGCATAATAAATAGCATTATTAGTATTATTTTGTTTAATATACTGTGAAAGCTCTAATATAAGGAGGTTTTTAAAAGAAGATTTTTAAAAAAGTTTCATTCTAAGATTTGAGATAAAATTTTATTGGGAAATTATTTTTGTGATAAAGAATGTTTTTTTATATTATAATATTTTGTTTAATTTATAACTATTTATCTATGAACATCATATTTATTGGATAAAAGATAATATTCTAACTTTAATTCATTTACAATTTTATTATTTTAAAAATTAAATTTGTTAAATTTAATAATACATTAAATAAATTAAGAGATGTTTTGATTAGTTTGTTAACATTTGACAAAGATTAGAAATCAAATAAAAAAAGTATCTATTATAAAAATATAATTAAAAATTAAATAACAATAATTATATTATTAATTAATATGTCATTTCTATTTTAATTGTAATTTGATTAGTATATTAAATTCCTTCAGAAATATATATTAATCTTATTTATATAAATAAAAAAATATTTAAATTATTTTATAGTAATATTAATTTTACTTTTACTTCTTATTTTTTTAATTAATTTCTTAATTACTCTTCAAATTGATATTTTTATAAATTAATAATCTTATTGTTGCTATTAATTATAATAAATTAAAATAAATATAAGCTAATATTAAGTTATTTGTTAGAAATATATTTATTAAATTCATTTTTTTATATCAATATTTTAATTTTATATTTATTTTGATATATTCATCTAATCACTAATTGAAAAGCTTAAATCAATAAAATAATCCATTTTTTTAAGATTTCTTGCTTTATCAATCAATTAATTAAGTTTTTACCATAAATTTAGTTTCAAACTTGTGATATTCTAGCTCTACGCTATTCCTGTGCCTAAATCTTTTGCACCCTCATCACAAATACTATTCAAACTTTAAATATAATAATAAATAATGAATTAAGAAAATAAATTTGGAGGAGAAAGGATTGTAAAAAAAGATTGTTTCTTTTGTTAGTATTTTAGTTTGTTTTTTAATGAGTAAGTAAATAAGTCAACAACTTGATTATTTTTTAGATGAGTAGTAAGTACGTAAGTATGCATTTAAATAAGCAATCTAATAAAAAAATAAGAAAATAACTAATTAGCTAACAAACGAACTGACTTAATTAGCTAACCACTAAGTTAAAAGTGTAAATCAACAAAATTATCAATTTTTTCTATGTTTGTTGCCTTATCAATCAATAGATTAAGTTTTTACCCTAAATTGAGTGTCAAACTTGTGATATTCTAGCTCTACGCTATTCCTGTGCCTAAATCTTTTGCACCCACATCACCAATATAATTATCCCTTTAAATATAAGAATAAATAATGAATTAAAAAAATAAATTTGGAGGAGAAAGGATTGTAAAAAAAGATTGCTTCTTTTGTTAGTATTTTAGTTTGTTTTTGAATGAGTAAGTAAATAAGTCAACAACTTGATTATTTTTTAGTTGAGTAGTAAGTGCCTAAGTAAATAAGTATGCCTTTAAATAAACAATCTAATAAAAAAGTAAGAAAATAACTAACTAGCTAACAAACGAACTGACTTAATTAGCTAACTACTAAGTGAAAAGCGTAAATCAACAAAATTATCAATTTTTTCTACGTTTGTTGCTTAATCAATCAATAAATTAAGTTTTTACCTTAAATCGAGTGTCAAACTTGTGATATTCTTGCACTACGCTATTCCTGTGCCTAAATCTTTTGCACCCTCGTCATCAATAATATTTCCACTTTAAATATAATAATAAATAATGAATTAAGAAAATAAATTTGGAGGAGAAAGGATTGTAAAAAAAGATTGCTTCTTTTGTTAGTATTTTAGTTTGTTTTTGAATGAGTAAGTAAATAAGTCTCAAACTTGATTATTTTTTAGATGAGTAGTAAGTACGTAAGTATGCATTTAAATAAGCAATCTAATAAAAAAATAAGAAAATAACTAACTAGCTAACAAACGAGCTGACTTAATTAGCTAACTACTAAGTGAAAAGCGTAAATCAACAAAATTATCAATTTTTTCTATGTTTGTTGCTTTATCAATCAATAAATTAAGTTTTTACCCTAAATTGAGTGTCAAACTTGTGATATTCTAGCTCTACGCTATTCCTGTGCCTAAATCTTTTGCACCCTTATCACCAATACTATTACAACTTTAAATATAAGAATAAATAATGAATTAAGAAAATAAATTTGGAGGAGAAAGGATTGTAAAAAAAGATTGCTTCTTTTGTTAGTATTTTAGTTTGTTTTTGAATGAGTAAGTAAATAAGTCTCAAACTTGATTATTTTTTAGATGAGTAGTAAGTACGTAAGTATGCATTTACCGTAATCCCTCGCAACCTCGCAGCTCGAAATCAAAAATTTTGATTACGAATGGAGAGGTTCTAAAAAGTCAATAAATTTGAGACTTACCTCGCAATTCGCAAAAATTTCTTATCGAGGGATTACGGTAAATAAGCAATCTAATAAAAAAATAAGAAAATAACTAACTAGCTAACAAACGAACTGACTTAATTAGCTAACTACTAAGTGAAAAGCGTAAATCAACAAAATTATCAATTTTTTCTACGTTTGTTGCTTAATCAATCAATAAATTAAGTTTTTACCTTAAATCGAGTGTCAAACTTGTGATATTCTAGCTCTACTCTATTCCTGTGCCTAAATCTTTTGCACCCTTATCACCAATACTATTACAACTTTAAATATAAGAATAAATAATGAATTAAGAAAATAAATTTGGAGGAGAAAGGATTGTAAAAAAAGATTGCTTCTTTTGTTAGTATTTTAGTTTGTTTTTGAATGAGTAAGTAAATAAGTCAACAACTTGATTATTTTTTAGATGAGTAGTAAGTACGTAAGTAAATAAGTGTGCATTTAAATAAGCAATCTAATAAAAAAATAAGAAAATAACTAACTAGCTAACAAACGAACTGACTTAATTAGCTAACTACTAAGTGAAAAGCGTAAATCAACAAAATTATCAATTTTTTCTACGTTTGTTGCTTAATCAATCAATAAATTAAGTTTTTACCTTAAATCGAGTGTCAAACTTGTGATATTCTAGCTCTACGCTATTCCTGTGCCTAAATCTTTTGCACCCTATGCACAAATAATATTTCCACTTTAAATATAATAATAAATAATGAATTAAGAAAATAAATTTGGAGGAGAAAGGATTGTAAAAAAAGATTGCTTCTTTTGTTAGTATTTTAGTTTGTTTTTGAATGAGTAAGTAAATAAGTCAACAACTTGATTATTTTTTAGATGAGTAGTAAGTACGTAAGTAAATAAGTGTGCATTTAAATAAGCAATCTAATAAAAAAATAAGAAAATAACTAACTAGCTAACAAACGAACTGACTTAATTAGCTAACTACTAAGTGAAAAGCGTAAATCAACAAAATTATCAATTTTTTCTATGTTTGTTGCTTTATCAATCAATAGATTAAGTTTTTACCTTAAATCGAGTGTCAAACATGTGATATTCTAGCTCTACGCTATTCCTGTGCCTAAATCTTTTGCACCCTATGCACCAATATTATTATAGCTTTAAATATAATAATAAATAATGAATTAAGAAAATAAATTTGGAGGAGAAAGGATTGTAAAAAAAGATTGCTTCTTTTGTTAGTATTTTAGTTTGTTTTTGAATGAGTAAGTAAATAAGTCTCAAACTTGATTATTTTTTAGATGAGTAGTAAGTACGTAAGTATGCATTTAAATAAGCAATCTAATAAAAAAATAAGAAAATAACTAACTAGCTAACAAACGAACTGACTTAATTAGCTAACTACTAAGTGAAAAGCGTAAATCAACAAAATTATCAATTTTTTCTATGTTTGTTGCTTTATCAATCAATAGATTAAGTTTTTACCCTAAATTGAGTGTCAAACTTGTGATATTCTAGCTCTACGCTATTCTAGTACCTAAATCTTTTGCACCCTATGCACCAATAATATTATAACTTTAAATATAAGAATAAATAATGAATTAAGAAAATAAATTTGGAGGAGAAAGGATTGTAAAAAAAGATTGTTTGTTTTGTTAGTATTTTAGTTTGTTTTTGAATGAGTAAGTAAATAAGTCAACAACTTGATTATTTTTTAGATGAGTAGTAAGTACGTAAGTATGCATTTAAATAAGCAATCTAATAAGTGAAAAGTGTAAATCAACAAAATTATCAATTTTTTCTATGTTTGTTGCTTAATCAATCAATAAATTAAGTTTTTACTGTAAATCGAGTGTCAAACTTGTGATATTCTAGCTCTAAGCTATTCCTGTGCCTAAATCTTTTGCACCCACATCACCAATACTATTATATCTTTAAATATAAGAATAAATAATGAATTAAGAAAATAAATTTGGAGGAGAAAGGATTGTAAAAAAAGATTGCTTCTTTTGTTAGTATTTTAGTTTGTTTTTGAATGAGTAAGTAAATAAGTCAACAACTTGATTATTTTTTAGATGAGTAGTAAGTACGTAAGTAAATAAGTGTGCATTTAAATAAGCAATCTAATAAAAAAATAAGAAAATAACTAACTAGCTAACAAACGAACTGACTTAATTAGCTAACTACTAAGTGAAAAGCGTAAATCAACAAAATTATCAATTTTTTCTACGTTTGTTGCTTAATCAATCAATAAATTAAGTTTTTACCCTAAATTGATTGTCAAACTTGTGATATTCTAGCTCTACGCTATTCCTGTTCCTATATCTTTTGCAACCTATGCACCAATACCAATAATACATCCACTTTAAATATAATATTAATAATGAATTAAGAAAATAAATTTGGAGGAGAAAGGATTGTAAAAAAAGATTGCTTCTTTTGTTAGTATTTTAGTTTGTTTTTGAATGAGTAAGTATATAAATCAACAAATTGTTTATTTTTTAGTTGAGTAGTAAGTACATAAGTAAATAAGTATGTATCTATACAAATAGATAATCTAATAAAAAAATAGATAAATAACTAGAGTAAAATTCCTATTTAATTTACAAAAGGCGAAATATCATATATCTTAATTAAATTTAAAATAAAGCTAAAAAAGCTTAAAATTTGTATTTTTATAAAACCTTAAATTCTAGAAATTAAAAATTTCAAAAAATATATACTATATTTTATAATAATATATCATTTTTTTGAAAATTATAAATTTTTTCTTTTTAAAAATAAAAGAGCTGGAGGGAAAAATTTTCAAAAAAATATATTTTTTTCTTTTAATTTTTACGTTATTTAAATAATTAAGTTAGTAAATATATAAATAATTAACTTACTTTTATTAGCTAATTATTTAATCAAAATTATTCTCAATAAAAAATGAAAAAATTACCTTAAATGTATCTTAACAATATTGTGGTTATAAATTTTATTCAAATCCTTTCGATAAAAAATTACTATAGTCTTATTTTGCTCTAATTATTTATCATTTTACATCAAAAGAGTTTTTTGTAGGATTAATTTCGTTTTTTTTGAATTTGAAAAGAATGTTATATCACTTTTTTCTACTATATCATAAAGAGATGCCCTCTAATAACTATCAGAAACAACAAGAAGGTTAATAAATTTATAAATTTATGAATTTTTGTTAATTAAAATATTAGATTTTTCGAAAGGCTAATCTAACTGCTTTTGTGTCATTAATGCAAAATTTAAAGAAGTATTTGTCTTCAGAACTTAATAATTATCTAATAAAGCTAGCAATAGCCCTACTGAATATGAATCAGACTAAAATAAAAGATTAATTTAAAACTTAATATTTTTTATAAAAAAGTACTTTCTTTGTATAAATCTTAAGTTCATTATCCTTTTTATTTAATATTTCAGGTGCTGAATATCCAAAATTTCCTATGGGCTATAAAGTTATCTTTAATATTTAGTATATATAAATAAAAAATCTACTTCTATGGTTTGAATTGAATCACTATTATCTGGAATTTAAGCAGATAAACCGAAATCACCTTTAATTCAAAAGAGAATGAAAAATAAATACTTGATGAATAAAAATAATTTACATAATTTTATTTCAGCTTATTTTCCATCTAAATAAACCAAAAAATTTTCTGGTTTAATATCTCTATGAATGATATTAAATGAATGAATATAATTGACAGAATCTATAATTTAGATTGCTATTTAAAATCTATCATCTTCGTTAATTTATCCATCTTTGTTTGATCTTTCAAGATATTCATCTAATGAACCTTTTACAAAATAAACAGTAATGTGTAATCAAATATATAAAAAAATGTGTCTTAATAAATTAATTGAGTAATTAAAAAAGAAAGTATAAAAAATTTTAAATGGATTAAATACTTCTTTATTTAAAATATATTAATTAATTCATTTGTTTATTTACTTAAAATTAGCCTTTTATATGACAAAAATATTATTTTAATAATTTAATTGAAACCTAAATTAAAATAATTGTTAACAATTAAATAAATTACATGAACATTTTTCTAATTCAAAGACTGAGTATCTATCAGGTCCTAATGTATTTTCAATTATGTAACTATCATAAAGCTATACCACTAATGGCTCTTTTAATTTCTACATAATACTAATTTCATTTTAGATTAGTTATTCATCTTCTATTTTTTGTATTTTTAGCACTATTTCTTTGTTAAGCATAGCTTTTTTAGTAGCCAATACCATTCCATAGTTTCCAAAGCTAAGAATTTGAAAGTCATTCTAATATTTTTAATGTTAATAGAGGCTTTTCAGCAGATTAGATAATATTTCCACTTTTGTAAATTGTGCACAAGAATCTTTTTGTAGGATTTTCTCATTGGTATTATCTAGAATTTACTAAGCATCCTTGTCAAATTAATTATGCTTTAAAATTAATTATCATATAATTTATAAAAACTTCAACTAAAAATAATTAATTTTTTACCATTTCATTTTACGATTGATTATTTTTATCTAACATTTACTGTGCCTATTTAGGTATTTATTACTTTTATTACAAAATTATTTATTGAATTTGAATATTCCAGACAAAGCAAAATATTAATATGCAATATAAAGGAATAATTTGTTTTATTATTTAATTTCTATAAATTTTATTTGATCATTTAAGATGATGTGTTTTTCATTTAAAAATAAAAAATTTTAAGAAAATTATTCTATTATTACTTTATTATGCTCATAACAATATTTTTATTTTTTCCAATTTATTAGAAAATGTAAAATATTTTGTTTGAATTTCTTTTTAAATACTTGTTTTAAGAGTTAAGATAAAATCTAATTTTTTTTGGGAAAATTGAATAATAAGTTTAAATTTAGAGTCTATTTTTAAGTCAATTGTAAAATAATTTATTACCTCTATTATCATTGAAGTCAGTAAAAATTTTAATGGTTAGACATGCATTTAGATGAGTTAAGATAATAATTCTCCTGCTGTAGTCCTGTCTAAATACCTATGCTTTAAGCATATTTAAGCTATTTTGTAAATATTAGATTTCTTATCTATCTCATATTTTTCATTAGGTATTTCTTATCCATCAAACAGATATTTTTTAGTTTCGAAATCTATCCAATTCTCATTTAGAGTCTTAAGATTGTCAAGCTCTAATAAAACGAGGCCTAGTGAAAATAGGTCGGACTATTTAATTTAATTTAAATAAATTTCAAAAATTATATAACATTTTTATTAAAAACCTGAATTCTAGATTTTCCTTATTCCACTTCTGGAGCAAAATAAGCATCAGTTCCTTTCTGAAAATTATAAAAAATATTGAAAATAATTAAAATAATAATTAATTTTTTAACCTTAGACACGAAACTTTTTGATTTAGACAAAGCTGATGCAAAGCCTAGATCACCTGAATTTAATTAAAAAGATGTTTATTAAATATTTATATAATTTAATATTAATAATTTTTTACATAGTTTGATTGAGAAACCATATTCCTAAGAAGAACAAACAAGGAAATTTTAAGGTTTTATATCCCTATGCATAATATTTTTGACGTGAAGATTATTAAGCCCTTCTATCATTTGAATCGCTATTATTTCCTTGATCTCTTTCTCAGGTGGAACTTATTATTTTCTAAGTATATCAAGGAGCTATTTGAGATTATCTAGTTAATTTTTAAATTTAATTAATTATGATTATTATGTGAAAATAAAAATTTTTTTTAAGTGGAAGTTAGAGTAAATTTAAAGTATTATTGTAAAAAATAATTATTTTGAAATTTAATTTCTTCATTTGTTTTGTATTGAAAAAGTTTAATTAAATATATTTTGAAAATTCTTTTTGACCTATTTAATAAAATTAAAGTATGAATAGTAAAAATAAATGCTAATTTTTATTTTTTTTAATTTTAAAAATTTTTTTGTGTTTAATTTGTTTATTTAAATTTTTAAATTATTAATTAAATATTTATTTAAAATAAAACAAAATTTTTAAATTAAATAATAAATTTTTGGAAGAGTGTTATAATTAAAGATTTATCAAAATTTATTATGTAAAATTAAATAATGCAAATAAAAATTTTAATAATCTAATAATTTTTTTAATTAAATATTAAAAATAAATATTATCAAAATTGTTAAATAAAAAATTAAGCTATTATATTGGGAAAATAGATAATAAAATTCTTATTAATTAATTTTCTAGAAGCTTTAATTAAGAATTTTACAATATTTGATAAAAGTAAGTGAAAAATATTAATTGTGGGTAATCCTAAAAAATTAATTAAAATTTGAATTATAAAATTAAATATATATTTCTATTACAATTTCTAAATTAGTTAAGCTTGTTTAATTCACATCTAATTTTTTTAATTATGCTAACAAAATCAAAAAAAGACTTAGAAAAAAAAAAAAATTACCTATTTTTAAAAAGATGATGCATAAGCCATGTCAAGTTAATAAAAAGTATAAATATATCTTATTTATTTTATGTATTTTAGATATTTTATAAAAAATGAAAGAAAAAAAATGGATGAAAAACATGTGATTTTTGTTTACACTCACAGAGCTCCATTTCCATTACAAAGAAGGATTTGACTCCAGTTTAAACGACTATATTGTTTCCATCATCATCTTTATCTTCTTGTTCTTCCATTAAATAAAAGCAATCGTAGACATTAACTAAAAATTATGATTTGCTAAATTTTTGAAGTAGTTCATACTCTTTTTTCAAAGATTCGATGCCATTATTATCCTCTTCGTTTGAGCTCCCTAAGAATTTGAGAGCTACTTGGCGTTTTTGTTTAGAATTGTAAGCCTTTAAGACAAGAGAATAAGCGCCACTGCTTAAATACTCGAAATTTTAGAAGTACTTTTTCTAACTGAAGATCAACTTAACCAATTCCTTAATTGATGGCCTTTAGATTAAACATTCTTTGAATATTTTTTTTGAGATAGTTTCAACTAATTCTTATTGAACTTTATTTGACATTTGACTATACTTTCGCTATGCGACTGGGGTTATTAACTGGATTACTGACTTACTTAAAGTAGGCTGAGGGGTTTGCTTTTTTATTAAAAACAGATGTTTTTTTGTGATGTAAAATTTTTATATGCGTAAGTCACTTATTTTTTTGTTTTTAAAGGAAATTCACCTAAATAGTTAAAAGTAATTAGGAAAATTAACCTATCAGTAAAAATTGATTAAAAATCAAGAAGAAATTCTAATTAATTTTCAAATATACTAACAACTTTTCTATTTTTAGTGCATTATTAACAGAAAACAATTTAAATAAAATTCATTTTTTTAAATTTATAATATTTTGTATTAATTATCTAAAATAATCATTTTCTTATGCAAAAATAGATTGACACGAATTTTTTAAATATAAACTCTATCACTGAATAATTATGATAAATTTAAAGATAAATAGAAAGAGCACCCACAGAGCCAAAAATTTTACCTAAAATATAAATATGTCCAGCTTAATGATGGATTTTTATATTAAAAAATAAAATTTGAGATCAAAACTTTTGTCCATATTTAACTAGCATTCAATTTGACAATGTTGCTGTAAATTTTGTGATATTAATATAATATAGAGAGAAAGCTAAAAACATTGAAGATCTTTAAGGATATTTTGATAATATTAAAAGATTGTTTATTCTTATCAGAATTTGTTTTTAATAAATAGAAGTTCCTATTCACTGATCTTCAAATATACTAATATCTATCTTTTTTATTAAAAGCTAATTCAAAATTATTAAAATCAATATTTATTATAATATATTTTAATTACATAATACAATCTATCCAATGAAAATTAAAATATATTCTATTATATCCCAAACAAAAAAATAACAAATTAAAATTATTCTTATTATCTAACAATAAATAACTATACTTATTTTATTAGTTGCGATAAATTAATTTTATTTTAAAAGCTAAAACGCTTTTTGATGAAACCCTTTATTTATTTAATTTTTTATAAAATATTTAATATAATTAATTTTAAAAATAATTTAAGCAACTTTTAAAGTGGTGGTTTAACCTCAACTAAATTTATCTGAATGCCTTTATTTTTTAATAATTTTTGATTAAATATTTTTTATTATGTTTGTTGCTTATTCAGGTTCAAACCCTATTTCGATACTTTTTTTATTAATTTAAATTTTTTTTTAATTTATAATATAATATAAATTATTCTACTAAATTTATATTTCTTACTCAATCAATAAAACAATAAAACTTTTAATATTTAAAAAAAAAATAATTTTTTTATTGATTAATTTTAAATATTATTTAATTTATTAGTAAGTAGTTTATAAATAAAATATATTATAAAATTAATCTATTTAAATTTTGATTTAGATTATAAAAACTCAATAAAAATAATTTATTATTTATAAAAGTGTTTTATTTTTTATATATTCTAACAACTAATGTATCAAATATTAAATATAAAAGTATTTTTTATATACGAAGAGTCTCTTTATAAATCAAATCAAATAGTTACTTTAAAAAGAATACTTAATTTAAATCAAATACTGTGATTAGTTTCATCGAATAATAAGAAAAACATCTAAATCAAATACATTATAAAATGAGTGTAGAAGTTTCCTAAAATTTTGAAATAAACGATTTAAAATAAATGTTTGTTTCTGTCTCTTTAGCAGAAGAAGATAGAGAATTACTTGCATTTTTAGCTGGTACTTAATACGCGTATGGCAAGGTCGAGAGGAGTTCATTAAGTGGTTTAATTGCTTAGATATCTGATTTATTATAGATATCATAACAAAAGGGCTAAAATGAAATTAAACAAGAATTATTTGCATCTCTGGTAAATAACACATAATAAGAACCTATTAGATACATCGAAGACCTCTCCAAAAGCATAAACTAATAAAATATGAGCATAAATAATAGTGAGTCAAATGTAAAATTAACTTTTTTATATCCCATTTTTCTAAAAATTAGCTTAGAGTATTTATCTTATTATAATTACTCCTAAATAATTAAAATATCTAGTAAGATATCAAATAAATCATTTGCAATTTTTCTTTTAAAAATAAAAATATTTTATTTATTTTTTAATTTTTTGTGCAAATTTTCTTTTGAATAAATAAAAATATTTTATTTTCTTTCATTGGTTTAAATTCCAAAATATAAATTCTCCTTTATAAATTTGCTTGTTCATTTTACCAATTAATGTTTTTTTTGAAAGTAGAATTAAGATGAAAAATCTTTTTAAGATGATGAAAATGTAGAGGAAGAAGAAAAATAAAAGGAAGTAAATGATAATTAAGACAAATTAAATGACATTACATTCAATGAAAAATAAAATAATTATTATATGTGCAATATATGCTTTGATTAAACAGAGAGTGAGTAATTTTATTACTTAGATTGTAATCATGTTTCTCATTAGTAATGCTTGGAGAATTACTTAAAAAAATAAATAAATTCAGACAATTTTTGGATATAATGTCCTCATACTGACTGCTGTTACTAAATTCCATAACACATCTTAAGTGAAGTTTTAAATAAAGAAGAATTTGAAGCGTATGAACTAAAATCACTAACAGCATTTTTTAGTTAGGATTAGGCTCTTGTACTTTTTTAATTTTAATGCTTTTATAAATTTTAAAATAATTTGTTTTTTATTTTAAGATGAAATCATGTCCTACTTAGAATTGTGAATTTACTTTTCCAAATGAAGATAATTTAACAAAACTTGATTGCCCATTTTGTAATAAGATCTACTGTTTAGTTTGCAATTGCTTGTTTCATGAAAATTTAACTTGCGAGGAGTATTAAATGTCACTCAATAGTTCAGTAATTTTAAATCTTTAATAACATTTTTTTACTCATTTTTTAAAATATTTTTAATTTTTTATTAATTTTTACTCTATTATAAAATAAAGCAATCGAAAGACAAAATATCAGATAAGAATTAAGACATATCTACTTAAAATACTAAAATAGATACTGAATAAATATAAATGGAAATAAACTAAATTTAAGAGCTAAAGGATGATGATGATTGGGACTGTGAAATATGTTACGAAAATATGATAAGTCAAGAATACATGTCTCTTATTTGTGATCATATTTTCCATAAAAATTGTTTAGCTAAATATTTTACTTCCTAAATAAACGAAAAGAAATTTCCTTTAAAGTGTCCAAATTCTAATTGCATTATTCCTATCGTATAGTAGGATTTAAGACAAGTATTGAATAAAATTGAAATTTAAAGATATGAGAAATTTAGCTTGTAAAATTATATTGACTCAAACGCAGATGAAGTAAACTTTCTCTATTAAAGTATTTTTTTCATTATTTTTTTAATTTTAAAGATATCTTGGTGTCCTACTCCGAACTGCGAATTTGCTTTCATTACAGAGAAAGATTAAAACTATCTTAATTGCCCTAAATGTAATAAGTCTTATTGCTTAAATTGCAAATGCGATTTTCATGTTGGATAAACTTGCTAAGAATATAAAATATCTAACAACTTTTCAGTAAAAAATTAACTAAGATTTGCAATTATTTTACACAAACAAACATTTTATTTAATAACAAAAGGAAGATGATTAGAAATTTGAATAATTTGTGGCTGGCTAAAAATTTAAGTAATGTTCAAAATGCAAAATGTGGGTTGAAAAAAACTAAGGGTAACCTATCAATTAATTCTTTTGGATATTAAATTTTAATAAATTTTTTAATTATTTGTTTTATAAAAGGTGCGATCATATGACATGTAGGTGTGGCTATTAATTCTGTTATAAGTGTGGAGGAGTTTACTTATAGTGTTAATGCTCTTAATATATTAGAAACCCATTTTAGTTTTAATCTAGATTTTTATTAAATCCAAATAATGATAATAATAGTTAAAGATATTTTAATTTTAATTAAAATATAGTAAGTAACAATTAGTAAAATATTTAGCAACAAAATATGTTTTAATTTTAAAGGAATAATTAAAACAGAACTAATAATTTTGAATTATTAAATAATAACCCTAATCAAATGAATATAAATTAATTTTAGATTAGTAATACTCAAAACAATTCTCTAAATATTTAAAATTAAACAGCCTTACCAAATAGTTTAAGCAGTTAATAAAGTTTTTAGCAACAAAATATGTTTTAAAATT